CATTTTTCGTCAATTTGCATTTGTTCATCAATTTTGGTTTCTACAGTATCTTCATTAGGGCTATTACATTTTCTCTATACACTTTATTTAATTAAGCTTCACAACTTTGCTGTGAGGTGGTATTATGACCCTTCTACCAACATGGAAACTAAAGCCCGGAGAAGGTGACTGACATAAAATGATAGACAGTCTGAGAGGAAAGGTATAGATTTCAGAAAAATCCAGCAGTGTAAATATATTTCAAATGACTATACAGACATGAAACTAATTATTATAATTGAACTTGACAAGTATGCAACCCTTGTTTGTTCCATTTAATAGACCATTGGACTATGGAGATTTCTTTCTTCTCTCACAGTACATACATTGCCTCATTTTAATCATGAAATCCCTTTAGGTTCTCCCTTTACCTAAGCTGTAATGACTAAGTGGGATCCAGTTTCTAATCCTCATGGAAACTGGTATGAAAGCATTAATGACCCAAATTTTAAATGTATTGGGAGGCCTGTTTCTTTCATCTCCACGTATAGTTTATAAAGGAGGTAAGATATGTGTGTGTCTGTTGCACTCAAGGAAGAAAAAAAATCTCAGTAAAGACTCATTTGTAGAGATTCTTGCATATTGCTGGCAGTGTTTTTCTCCCCAGGGAGAAACCCACACAGTGGGCACGTCTACATGAGATGCCCACTGTGCAGTTGTTACGGTGCAGTCATTTAATACTTGCATAACCAAGTACTAAATGACTGCACAGTAACCGGCATTACTGTGCAGTACCATCCTGACACGGTTGACTGGTAATGCTTACTGCACAATAGCTTATTACTACTGCACAGTGATTTGTTACCATGTGCAGTAGCATTGCATCATGGTTTGTGCCCAGAAATGCTATTCCACAGTAGTAATGAGCTACTGCGCAGTAAGTGTCTCATTTTGACACACCAAGTATCTCTAAAAACTTAATAGATGACCCCAGGAATATTATGGGTTGCCTGGGTAGCTCCTGAAAAATATGGTTCGATTAGAAATCTCCCAGAGTCAGTTGTTCTTCATGGGAAAGTGGGGTAGGTAAGTGGAAAATGTAATGCAGTGAAGATAAAAGAACCAAGGTTGTTCAATTTATTCAGCACAATTCCTGAACTTGTTAGCTAACAGTCCTTCACATAATCACTTTGGTACCCTTCTTGCTCACTTAGGTCTTTTGACTTCTAATTCATTCCACTAGGAAAACAAATTCATAATGTAAGTACCTTATACAGTACTACAAAAAGGAGAGGCTTGGAGGTGAGAATAACAAAATAACTATAATTTTGCTTTGCTATAAGTCCTTCAGTAATATGAAGGACCATGGGACTTGTAAGAATGTGACAAGAAGCATAAACTGTTAAAATCAAACAAGGTGTATGATGCTGAGAGAAAATGTGAAAAATTTCAGTAGAGATTCCTTGCACTAACTCATAACATGAAGCTGAAAGTGCAGTCTTGTTTTTAAAATTACATTTATATTTAGGCAAAACAGAGCTAAAATCCAGGTGCCACTATAAAGAACTAGAAAAATGTGAGAATTGATGTACTCAAATCAAAGCATACAGTAAAGCAATTTTACTTATACCACTTTTTGAACTGAAGAATCTACTCAGGACCATTTCATGCTTTGAATAAAGAAATTATTAAGCATTAATAAAGGAGTGATTGTGTGCACACAACTAAAATTTCAACCTTAAATGTATTATTATGAAGGCAGAAAAATACGTTTTAGGCAGTAAATAAGGTTGTGACATTGGTTTAAATTAGGTCACTGCTCCATAGCCACGAAGGTCACTTAGAATTGCCCTTAGAATTTTTTTTATTTGTGGAAATCTCTGATGATACAGACCTAGCATGACTTATTTGATATCACATAATCTTTCCCTCTCCACAAAGATAATGTTCAAGACATGCTAAGAAGCAAAATGGATATGGCTAGGGCAGGCTACACTCCAGCCAAGTGACTCTTAGGACATTGTTCTGTTTGGTGTAATATAGAATAGATCTTTACCTGTTACAATGGGTGTGGAGAGCCATTTCACTCCCCTTAGGTGCCAGAGAATAGGAAAAGTAGATTAACTATGCTTCCCCACTACCCTCACTTTTCTCCCTCAGCAGAGGAAAACAAGCTTCAGAATTCAGGATTCCTGGCATGAGGTCCTGCACTCTGATTATCAGTGCAAAGTCTCTCAATAGGTACGTGCAGCCATTTACCACACCCAGTTTATGTTCATGCAGTTTACTTTAAGCCACTTAAATGTAGCCTGGGAGCTGCACTAGGAGCTGAATGGGGAGCTCAATTTAAGTAGATCAGGGTGTGAGGGGAGGCTGGCAGGATTGGGAAACTAGATGATCATGGGGTGGTGTTTGATGTAGGGTTACCATACGTCTGGGTTTTCCCAGACATGTCCTCTTTTTGGACCCTCCCACTTCTGTTCAGGCAGTTTTTTTAAAGATCAGCAAATGTCTGGGATTTTGCTCTGCCCTGCTTTTTCCCCCAGCACTTCTGTCTTGCCGGAGCAAGGAGCTGCTTGGGGTTGGGGTCAGTGGGAAAAAGTGATTGGAGGCCATGCACGAAGTGCTTTGCACACGGGTCCTGCAGCTGCAGGCAGATGAGAGAGAGAGAGAGAGAGAGAGCTGTGTGGACAGCAGGACTGGGGGCTGTGGGTCAGGAGTGAGGGGTATCAGCAGGGATGGGGGGCTGCAGGTTGGGAGTGAAGGGCACCAGCATGGTCTGGGGGGCAGGGTACAGTGGGTCAGGAGTGAGGAGCAGCAGCAGAGCTGGGAGACAGTCTTGGGAGTGAGGGGCAGGGGTAGGGCATAGGCATATCATTGCCCCTCCCCCCCACAACCATACACCCCTTCCCTCTCTCCCCCCTCTCCCCTGGCATTCCTCCCCTCACTCTCACAGGTGTCCTCTTTTTTGAAACTGGAAATTTGGTAACCCTGGTTTGGCAGGTCTGTAGGGGGACCAGGGATAAGGGAGAAAGGGGGCTAAAAATAGCCTAGTCAGGGTCAGAGGGGTGGTAATAGCACAGCTGGGTTTTCCCAGGCCCAAGATGGCACTGAATCCATGCAGGCATTTGTGAGTTTGGGTTAACCAGATACCAATTTAAGTTAGCATATCTCCTTAGGTGTGCCATTTTTGGGCAATTTAGGCTCACTGCACAACTGGGCATTTAGATCAACCTAACCCTGGTCAAAGCAATTTAAGTGTAAAGCATGTATATAGCCTATGTCTTCCATGAACACTCTGGAGCTTACAGTCAAAGCAACTAAGGCACAACTAGCAGGGAGCCTGATTTTCCCTGCTAAAAAACTGCAAATTATCTGATTTAAAAAAATTGCAAATTCTATAATAAAAAAACCCAAATCCATGATTAAAACGAAAGCCCACTCACTCCTCCTCCCTGGGGCCCTGTGGCTACGCATTATGGCCCCAGGTCCCAAGACCTATGCACCACCCAGCTGGGCAGCAGCCCTAGCCCTCCCAACTCCTTCCCACCTCCTCTATGAGGGCCTCAATCCCCGCTCCTGCTTACCGGAGGGAGCTGCTCTCCAGGCTGCCAGGGATCCATGTGCATATATACATGCATATGGTCCCTGGCCTGACCGCCTTCCTCCCACTTCCTCCCATCTCCCTGCAGGCTGGAACTCTGCCAGCATGCAGAGAGCTCTTTGCAAAACTGCAAAATCCATTGGTTTCTTTGGTAAAATGAGAACCCCATGTTTTCCTCTGGTAAAGGGGAAAATCCATAGTTTTCTCCATTTTTCCATAGGAAACAGAAAACCTGGATCCCTGACAATCAGTCATCTGTCCTATTTTGGGTTCAGCTACATAAATGGGAAAAATAAACTGAGTAAGAGGAAGAGTCCTAGGATGCTCTGTTGGCTACTATGACAGACCTTGGGTCCACAATGTTAGCCTAACCTGGACCATAAATACTGTTTTATGACTATGAGTTTGGTTGCTGTATCTAACTTAAGACTGTTCTAAGAAAAAGGCAAAGAATTTAGCTATCTCCTAGATCTTTAGCTTTTTCAGCTGGGTTAGTAGAAGAAAATTGTCCTTTTTTCAATTTGGTTTTGGAAATTCCTTTTCTAACATTCAGCTCAGTACAGCTGAAAGGCATATGAGACATGGTTAACTTGTATGAATTAGAGAATAAGAAAAGGAACCAGGGGAAAGCATTTCAAATGTTAGAAAGAAAGGTTTTCTTTATTGTTCTTTTTCTTTTCCGTCTCTCCCCACTCCTTCTCAGTTTTTACATTGAAATATATATAAAGTGTGTTAAATACTTAGCTCAATTCCCATGATTTTTTAAATAACGGGGACAATAAGTAGTATGCAATACCTTGGCTATCATAGTCCCTTTAAAAACTTGTCATTTATAAATCCAACTGTTTAAACACTATTTACTTGCTCAGTCACAGAAAATACAGTATTTACTTGCTCAGTCACAGCAAATACAGTAAATTATAGTAAAATTGTATGTTTTGCAGAGCATTATTTACATATTTTAATGGTTCTACTCAATACTTTGAATATGTATGTGCAATCTATTTCATAGTCAATGAGAACTGAATCCATGAATCCAAAGGGAGAATTGTCTTTTCTTTTTGTTGCTCAGTGATTTATATCATAAATGTTTTGTTAGACATATTCACTGGTATAGTATAGTTACACAATGCTTTGTTATGCAAAATATATCCTGTGTTATGGGGAAATAAAATAATTTCCCTGTGGACTGTAAACCAATCAAATTAAATCTTGGTGCACCTTTGGAATATTTTCCAGATAGAGCTGGAATCCTGTTCACATTGATGTGAGTAAAAGTTTTGTTACTGATTGCAAAAAGAGCAAGTTTAAAACCCTTCTAAAAGCTGCTTCTATGCTGTATACTTTTTTCTAGATGAGATGTTTTTCTCCCTTGTCTGCCCACTGGCCCCACAATGACATGTCATTTTGCTCATACCTTGAAAATTTTGCACATAATCTCATAAACTGAAAAGGTTTTTTCAGCTCGTGTCCAATCCCAGGTGGTAACCTTGGAAAAACAAACAAACAAGCAAACAAAATAAGTAACGTAATTTATCTTTGTTTCTAAGATACATTATAAAGCACTTCTCCCTCTTGCCAAGATCTTTTCTTTAGCTCTTGCATGTAAAAAGAAGCACCTTGAGAGAAACACAAAACTTAAACAGAAATGAGAACACTATTTTGTTGCATGGAGGCATTATTGAGAAGGCACATTGCCTTAGAGCTCAAAGAGAGATTATACCTCCATAAGTGACCTGCAGACAGTGGCCTTTGTTTAAGGGGAACCACCTGTTACAATGGAGTAACCTGCATCTCATGGAGCATTCATCTCAGTGTATTAGCTGATAAACAGGAGTTATGGATTTTTATCCCATTTCCTGGCTTAGCTTTTGTGACTCCTTTTGTTCTTTTGGGTTTACTGCTTATTTGCTCACACACCTTAGCCCCTTTTCTTGTCTTTTGTATTCTAATTCTTTCTTCTTCTTAGACACCTCTTGCTGCACATCCTTTCATGGCATCTGATGAAATAAGCTTCAGCTGACAAAAACTTTTGCTACAGTACACACACATACTTTGTTTCGTTTTTAAGGTACAAATCTACCCTGCCTTCTACTTGACTTCAAACTAACATGGTTAACTACATCTCTCTGAATTCATAGATTTCATAGACTTCACAGATTTCATAGACATTAGGGCTGGAAGGGACCTCAGAAGATCATCGAGTCCAGCCTCCTGCCCCAGGGGGAGGAAGTCAGCTGTGGTCACAGGATCCCAGCAAGATAGGCATCCAATTGACTCCTAAAAGAGTCCAGAATAGGTGCTTTCATCACTTCTGGTGGCAGTCTGTTCCAGGTCCTGGGGGCTCAGACAGTAAAGAAATGTTTCCTTATGCCCAGCCTGAAACAGTCTTGAAGGAGTTTGTGATTGTTGGACCTTGTCATCCCATGAGGTGCTCTGGTGAGCAGGTGTTCCCCCAGATCCTGATGCACAACCCTTATATATTTATAGGCAGCCACCAGGTCCCCCCTGAGTCTGCACTTTTCCAGTCTGAAGAGTCCTGTGCCTTTCAACCTCTCCTCATAAAACCTGTTCTCCTGCCCTCTGATCATATTATTTTACTCTGCTTCAAATACTGAACTATGAATAGAACTTCTGTACCTCCAAAAAGCTCATTCCAAGGACTTAAAACTTCCTTTTATTCATATGAAATTTAAATGAATCATATTGCCCCAAAACAGTATGATTCAAAAGAAGGGGTAAGTGGTAAACAAGTAAGAGAAATGCAGGAAGAAACAACTTAGTACTCAGCCTAGAGAAAAGAAAAGCAGGATATATAGCTATCGATATATAACCTCCAAGGAAAATGTATGAAAAAGAAGAATGGAATTATTCAGAGTCCTATCAGATGGAAGAACAAGGACTGAATAAAGGACTGAAAAAACAAAACTATGTGTGCAGAAAAAGTTCTTAACAGTTAAAAGAGCTGGATGTGGAACAGATTCCAAAGAAGGTGATTACAGCATCAGTACTCCTGATACACAAGGCCACAAAAAAGGAAAGAAAAAATGTATTCGATCTCCAAGACTCAAGAACACAAGTCACCTGAAAAATACATATGAGAAAATATAATATGGGAAGAATTTCTCCCCTAATTTCCTGAAACCATAGTTGTGTGAGAGGTACTTGAGATTACTAGGGAGCTTTTGTGGGAAGAGGTATGGCAGTACAGGAAATCTGTAAAAAGAAACCTTTAATAAAATGTTTACTTGGTGTCCTTTTCCTTTCCCACATTTTTACGCTATTATGTATGGCTTTTGTCACTGTGATTTATAAACACATTAAACATTATTAAAACTTCTTTCTGAGTATTTGTTGGTATCATTTTACTTTCTGTTTGGCAATTCCTTTCTCCATATATCAAAACTGCTAATGAATAACATTGCAACTTTACAGTTAATTTGAGCATGAGTTGAGGATTACAAACCAAGATCTTATAATTTTTTTATTCACGCTCTGTACTTTTTTTGCTGAAAGAAAAATGTTTTTACCGACATGTGCTTTTACTGTTGTTAAAAACAAATATTGAGTTAGCAGCCTTGTGTGACTGTAGCAGAGGTTTTACACCCTGCTGCCCCACTGCAGAGATCTCCTACTCACCCCTGAGCCTTACCCCTGCCAGCCCTGCTCCTCCCCTGTCCTGGCACAGACTCCCACCCACTGCCTCTCCTTTTCCAAGCCCAAAGCTCCATCCCAGCCATATTGCCTCCCACTCTGGACCTTTAATATGAGCAGCTATTGAAGGGAAGAGACAGGCATGAAGACCAAGGGGCAGTGAGCAGCAATGTTGCGACAAAAGCTCAGTGCCTGCATAGTACTGCGCTCCCACTCAGACAGAATGTGGCACTGTTATGCTCCCTTTGATTTTCAGCCCCGCTCCACCTTTTGTCTTGTCCTGGAGCTTAAAACTGTGGCAGCTCCATGTTTTCACAGAAGGTTAAATGTTTTTAGAGACGTTTATGGACAGGTATTTTTAGGGTGTTCTTTTTCATGGAACATCTGTAAATTTATGGACAGTTGGCAATCTTAATGGAGATGCATGGCAATTGACCTAATAACGTTAAGTATATTTTTTAGCATATACATTTTTAAAGAGAAACGCTGACAAAGATTGCTTAAGACCATTATCTGAATAAAATAAAATTCAACAATAAACAGCTCAAAAAGTAATTTTTTTTTTTTTTTTTTGCTTTTTGATAGAGTTATAATTGTTGGCCATCATCCTCATATATATATGTATTCTTTCCTCTTACAAAAATTACATTTCTGGGAAGAGAGAAATTATATACCATTTACCAATAAATCATATCTCTCACACAGTAGCCCTATACAGAAACAAGGACTTACAGGAAATATAAACATTTTGTGATATGACCAGATGGAGGCAGAAGGAGGAGCCCCCACTTCTTCCATATCAGAGTATAGGGTAGAGCAGGGATTTTCAACCTTTTTTAACAAGTGTACCCCTATGGTCTCAAAGTTTCAGTTCGTGTATCCCTTTATAGTCTTTCTTGTTTTTAAGAGAGGGGGCAAATTGAGGTCCCCATAGTGAGGGAGGAAGTGGGGCAGAGGCAAGGGCAGGCACTGCACAGGCAGAGGGAGAAAAAAATATTTGGAGGGGCTGAGCATGCATGCACACCCCCCGGCCCCAGCAGGTAAGTCTGTGAAGGAAGGGGTGGAGAGAGGAGAAAGGGCTGAGAGGGGCAGACTGAGTCCTCCATGGTGAGGGAGGCAGTGGGGCACCTAATCCTTGAGCCTCCACTTGTCTCACCACGCAGCCCAGCTGGGGCCCCACTCATGCCCCTGCTCCTGCCTTGCTCCCTCCCTCACTGCAGGGGCCTCGATCTGCCCCCCCCCACACACAGTTGTAAGGGAGGGAGTGGGGCTGGGAATCAAGACACCCACAGTGCAGGAGGGAGTGGGGCAGGGGCAAATCATTCACCCCTGCCTCTACCCCACTCCCTCCTGCACTGTGGGGATTATTCCACAGCCAGGCCCAGATGGGGCTCCATTCATGGTGAATGGGAACCCAGCTGGGCTGGGTTCTGGGACAACTGGAGCCTGGAGGTTTGTCCAGAGGTGCAGCATGGGGGAGCTCATCCAGAGGCATGGCATGTAAAAAAAAAATATTTTTTACAGTCACTCACTACAATGCCTAGAAGTCCAGTCTGACCCTTTATAATTAAAACTAGGTTGGGAAATAAGATCTTATTGTTTAATGTGATTTTAAGGTGCAGGATATTTTTTTTTAAAAGAAGCAAGAAAAGTACTTACACAAAGAAGACGACAAAACACAAAGAAACTAAATTAAGGCCATGTCTGCTTTCTTGAATTCTGTTCTTGTCTAAATTAAAAAAAATGAGCAGATAGCACACACTGTGCAAGTATGTGTACACCTCATATAGCGCACCATCACATGCCAAAGACATGTTTTTTTAGGCACTCCTTGTAAGAATACTAGCAGCACATCTCTATAAAGAAACTAACAATTCAAGGAGTTTACAGTGTAAACCCCGTCCCCCCCCAAAAAAATAAAAAGTGCATGTACTAAACATACTGTGTGGACAAAAAGACGGTGGATACAGTGTTTTTAGAGGTATTTTTACAGTCATTCTTTTTGGGGCAATGGTTTTCAAATGGTGTTCTGTGGAGTCCTGGGGTTTTGTGATAGGTCATCAGAGATTGTGATGGGTCATTATTCTGAGAAGAAATTGGGGATAATGGCAGAGTGGACCAGGAGGCTGTGTGACACTACTGCCATCTGGATGGCTGGATCAATGTGAGTTCCTATAGCCCTGAGGAGCCAGGGGCAGGGCAGAAGAAGTGGTATGAAAGGCTTCCATGACTTTAGGAATTTAAAAACCACTGCTTCAGGACAGAGGAATCATTGGGAAATATGGCTGGAATGCACCTCATGAGGTCAGCTTTTACTTGTTTTTTCCACTCATTTAATTTTTCTCCCATTTTACATTTTAACTTTTCCATATTTGCACTGCCTCAGAGTCAATGGCCAGAATTTGATGCCTGTTCTCACAGTGGGTGAGATTTTGTGCTACACAGAACTTGCAAGACTTAGAAAGAAGGCTTGAGGTTTTGGTGGCTTCTCTCAAATTATACCAGTTTCCTAGAGGCTTGCAATCTTTATTGTGATAGCATTGTGTGACTCAGCTTCCAGTTTCTCTCCCTCTCTCTCACTTGTACCATGCACATTATGTGCTTTGGAAGGCATCCTCAGAAGTGAGGCTTCTGACAGCCATTTGCAGTGACTGTGCCAAAGAATTTCCCCTGTGGATTTATCTCTGGTTCTTAGACCTTTTATGCTTTAATCTGGTATAAAAAGGACAGAATGGCACTGGGCGCATCTATAACTTTGCATTAGCATAGTTTACTGCGAAGTAAGCTTGTGCACGCTAGATCAGGACAGGGGTGCATCAGGTGGATCAGGGCAGGGGCCTGGGAACAGCCCCTCCCTTGCATCTCTTTCCAAGTTCCCTGAGCCTTTATCATGGAGCCAGGGCCAGGAGTTCCCTGCTGGTAGGGCAGGGGGACATTGTCTCCTGATCCGGTGCCCCCTGCCTGCTCTTGGGCTACCACCCAGGGGGATCCTGGAGCTCCCCCCAGTGGTGGCAGGGGCCCATTGCAGGGCTGCAGGAAACTTGTTGCAAAGAGCAGCAAATCTTCTCCCTAATCCCTGCATATATAGACGCCTGCCCCAAAATGCTTAATCCAGAGTAGTTCACACCAGAGTAAATTTAGGTCAGAGTAAATGCATGTGTAGACAGGCCCACTGTGAATCACTGGATGAAGAACAATGAAGTATTGAAGTCAAGAGCTATTCTATACAATTAAGATTAAAATTTGTCCCTGAAAAAGGAACATTTTAAAATTAACACGATTGTTGTATTTTGCAAGGGGCAGTGTCTTCCATACTTTTTCATATTAATCTGTGCTTAACCTTATTAAAACAATTGAATCTTCTTCCTGAGATCCTGATTTGTCAAAGCACCAAATCATGTGTAGAACTGCCTTTATGTAGCGGGTTGTCAATGTTGTTTCAGTTTTTCTTTTTCTTTTTCTTTTTTTTTAAGATTGTGACATTTAGTCTGTTTTTTGATTACTGAACTGTGCCTGCCCACCTCAATGTGTGAATGTGACAACTCCTGCATTGCCACCTCTACCAAATTTATACACCAAATAGTGTTGTTCGTCCCTGCTGCAAGATGGCCCCTCAATGCCTGATGGTGTGTAATTTACAGATTATTGCAAGCCTAAAAATATAATTGTTTTCCTGCTTCCACCCCAACAATTAATTTTCTGCTCTAATCTTTGCCCCCATAACAGTTCTGACTCCCCTGTCTGACATCTGCTGATAACTCAGATCATAAATTAATTATGTATCTTCTCTTCCTCCATATCCTTTCAATCCTTCCCTCCCTCCACATCCATCCAATCCCTAGTGTGAAAGATCCTTTTTTTTTTGGAAGTAGAGATGTTCATTTCTTTTTTATCTCTTTCCCAGACTAAAGCTCATTTCAGCCTCTAAGAGAAGAGGAAGAACTTTGGTGCCTCCAATCTCTGATTGTTTTTTCTCAGGATGGAAGGCAGACATTTGGGGCTGAGGGTTCACCAGGCAGGTGCAGGCTTGAGCCTTTTGCATCATCTTAGTTGGAGCCAAAATCCTATTACTGGTGAAGAAATCATGGAAATTAGCAACACTGCACAGACTTAACTTTAATGCATATTCATGCAAATACGCAAAAAATATTTTATTTTAAAGGGATGGTGGCATGTGGTGAAATGCTTGCCAGATAAATAATTTAGAGCAAGTTTACCTCCAATTATAGATGTGCAGCTCCCAGTTCAGACACCCGTATAAATCTAACCTACAGCAGAAGGGATATCAATATGGCTTTCAAAACCTGCTTGAGATGCAGGAAAAATTAGCCGTGTGTTCTGTGCTGCCTTGGCAAGCCTGTTACTGGTACCTAAACTAGGCTGTGTAAAGAGATTTTTGGGTATGCCTACATTGCCACCTGAATCTCACTCCTGAAACATAATTAAGGATGTTGTTGAGTTTGGACTTGAGCAACTTGCCACTTAATGTCAGTAACACGTTCTGCTAGCTAAATTAAAATTCAGCTATTGCTCAGTCTACTTAATCATTTTCCACACATCCTCCTTTTTGGTGCTTCCACATATAAAAAATATCCTTCAGGTTATAATGAAATCTGAAGAGTGAGATGTTGTTCTGAAAACTACATTTCCACAGCATGCACCAACTCTGGTATTTCCCAAGTGTACAACAATTGTAATTTGAAAGGATGAACAAATCCAGCCAGTTTGCTTCAGGCTTGTTTTCTCTTCCAAACCTAGTAGGCAAAAACCTGTGCATTTCCTTTCTCACTTTCCTAAGCTTTCCAGGTAACTGGAGAGAAAAGTACAATTGCTGTACAAGATCAACAATTGTTGATACTTCTGATCAACAATTTTATGCTTCTTTTACTGGTTATTCCTCATCTCTTTTCACTACTGCATATCAAAATAATCCTTGTATGAATTGCATAGAATATGCTTAATTAAAAACACTTATTTGTGTGAATATGAGAAGAATACTTACTGGTGGTGCTATAAATTTATATAGAGAAGAACCTCTCAGAGCTAGAAACTTTGGTGTGTACATTCGGTCCTGAAGGGAGTCTTGTTCCCGTTCTTCTGTCCAGCCCATGTAGACTATCTGACAGAAAAATCAATAGTGTTGACAAATTCTACATGCATTTTCTTCCATAGATTCATTACATATTCTTTGTGCAACTTACAGGTGCCATTTAGCTAAAAATCCCACTCTGTTGATTCAAAATGACATCTTGATAGTTCAGTTATCATTTTAAAATCATATATAAGAGGCTGTTTGTAACAATTTGGGGGAGAAAAGTCAAAACAGTAAAAAAAAATACTCAAGCAGATGTCAAAGGTTTATCAGCTCATTAAAGTCTTGCTGGAGTAATTGTACATATGCTGACAGTTCACATCAGAGCAATTTAATGCAAGCAAAGGGTAAGTAACTGGAAAACTAGTAAAATATCAAATAATTAGTTCAACTGCTCATGCATATAATACTAGGTGGTGGTTTGCCACTGTCTGTGGAAACAAGGATTCCAGTATGAGAAAGCCTTGTTTAGTATTTTTATTTATATACATTCATTCCAGAAATTGAGATTAGCTTTCCAGCATTATTTCCTAATAAGCTATAACTATGCTTAGGACTTTTTCAATTCAATGATTGCTCAAGAAGACACAACTGAAGGGTGTGAAAGTATTGGGAATTAAACATAGTAGCTGTCCCCTCCTCCAACCACTTGACAAAAGATTCCACCATAACATGAATAAAAGAAACAGACAGGAACCCAAATATTATTCTTGCATATTGAAACTGGCCTTTTATTTAGGAGACGAAATATAAAGTTTGGGGTCTATCTTCAGGTACATTCTTTATGTCCATATTTTTAATGAACTTTAACATAGCACCTTACCAATACCTCCTTCTCCTTAGAAATTGATTTACTTCAGTGCACATAAGTCCATGTTGAGATCTAATTAGTCATAAACTCATTTATATCACGTGTGTGAATTAAGGCCTAAAATAGTAGAAAGCTGAGTATTTACCAACACCAGTATGTGAAGTTATGGAAGACTGTAGCAGTCTCAAACAATCCACCTATTGTCAAAGGCCTGCTAGTGGCTGGACCTCCGTAGTGGTTGGACCCACAACCCTTGCTTTTTACTTTGCCTCCTGTCTCCCTCCTGCCATGACTTCGTTTTTAAGGGTTTTTAATTAGGGAGAGTGTTGGAAGAGATTGGGGTAGCCCCTTTCTAAGTGACTTCGCTTGGTGTGCTATCCTCTGGGCTTCTCTGTCCTAAACTCTCTGAGGTATGCCCCACCTTTTAAAGGCAGCTCCAGCCAAGCCTTCAGGGCAATAATCATGACTTCTAGCCACCTCCACAAACATGCCTATGCCTTGCAGATGTTATCAGTTATCATTCTTGGGAGGTGCCTTGCCTACGCCAGTCCCCAAGCACTTACTGGGATCTCAGCCTTCCCAGGTTCCCCCCCACCTTTTTTTAACTGGGGTCCCCCAACCTAGCTCCATAGCACCAGAGCCCAGCTTATGATTCAGGGTTCCTGACCCTGTGTTTTTCCCCTCATGGGCAATGGCCCCTCGCCCTCTTGGCCCCTGACTGTCTCTGTCTTACACCCCACCCCAGTAGCATACAAAGACTTGGTACGCTCTGCCAGCACCCCACTGTGGCTTCTGAACTGCCCCTACAGCCACTTGGGTAAGTTTAAGATAAAAAAGCTGCTGCTTCAATTAGAACTTCTTCCCTATCTGGGGAAAATGGAGCAAAGGACACAAAAAGAAATGTTACTTTAACAGAAGACTTCTCACTCTGATTAAACAGTGTTCCACAAGAGTCGGGGGAGCTGCCCTGGCATGTGACTCCTAACAAGCTCTCTGTGTCTGGGCCATGGAGGTTCCTGGTGCCTGTAACACAAAAAGTGCTGGGTCTCTGCCTTTCCTCAGCAGCATCTTTTCACTATCTGTCTTCCTCCCACACCCCCACTTCCAGCTTCAGGCAGGGGGGTTTATATGTCCAACAGCCCCTTCCCGCAGCTCATCTCATGCGTGTTCAGGGGTTTTAAATCTCTTAATTAAAGGGCAACCTCTGTTCCTGTTGCTCCACTCTCTTGAAGGGGTATGATCACGACTGCCAGATGCAGGTCCTTCCCTTTCACACCAACTGCTCTGGTCCCTGCTTCTCTCTTTCTCTTTCCCTCTTAGCTGAGTAACAGGGTTAGGGTCCCCTGTTAGAAGGACCCATATATGTGGATTAAATGTATCACAGGAACTTTTGATAACTAATATTAATAAGAACAGTTTTTGCTAATAATAAATATTAACTTCTGGTGTCTGTGGTAAAATTCTGGGGCATTTGAATATTAATGGAATAGATCTGTTGATTTTGGAACAGTAAGTTTGTATATCATGTACCTTCTGTAAGAGTACATATAGATGAACAAATTATATTCAGGATGAGGCTTACAGCTGTTTATGGCAATTGTTTGATATGTCTGCTGCATCCCATGGTAAGTAGCAGCTAAATTGAAGCATCTTACCTCTCCCTGAAACAACTGTTAAGTTACAATTGTTTTGCTTCCATTTACTATGGGAGAGAGAACACATAAAACAGTTAGCATGGATAGCTGACCTGTGATAAGTTGCATCCTCTGAATAATTTGTTCATCTGTCCACACGCTAATAAAGTGGGGCCAGTTTTTGTCCAGAACCTTGATGTATTCCAGATTGAGTACTGAGAACACAGAGGAACCAGCCTAAGCAATGCTTATGAATAAGAATATTCTTAATCATATTAGTAGTAAATTTACTCATGCCACTTCCATGTTTATGTGACTGGGCATGATTATCCCATGACATTTCAGTATACAGGACAAAGAATGTTTGCCCCGCATTCTTTTAGTAGTATAACTAGTTTACCTAAATTTATTGCTACCAGTTTTTCTAGCTCATTAAGAGTTCCACATGAAATATACAATGGATTACATAATTTTTTGTTGAATTTTTTTTTTCAGTTGCTGTTTATACCATAGTTAATGTATTATATTATCAGGTATTTAGTTACAGAGATTTTGCTGTAAATCTCTATCATGGTTTACTGCAAACTTTGTATTGGACAGTCATGTGTGTACATATTGGTGTGTGTACGCACATGTGACCACACCCAAACTGATGAAGTGGTGTATTATTTTTTATAGTTTCAGCTGATAACACTATGGACTATCTTCATAAGGTTGTTCCATGTGTTTAAAAAGAACAACTCTTTGTTTTAAATCCCCGAGACCCTAATTCTTCATATACACAAACCAGTGTTACAGAGTTTGGTATACTGTTGGGTAGTTCCTTCTGGCTTTGCCTAAAGTCTGTGAACTATAAGATTCCAAAAGAAAAAATAATGGAATTAGTTTAAAAGTTGCCATGATCAGTTCCATGCTTGAAAACCTGCAAAGATCTAGACAGGTTACAGGGGTGGGCAGATGAGAACAGGATGGGGTTAAATACTGACGAGTGCAAGGTGCTGCACCTGGGGAGGAAGAACCAGCAGCATACCTACAGGCTGGGGGACTCCCTTCTAGTCAGCACAGAGGCAGAAAAGGATCTTGGAGTCATTATTGATCCCAAGATGAACATGGGCCACTAGTGTGGGGATGTGGTCAAGAAGGTTAACCATACCTTGTCATACATCCACAGATGCACCACAAGCAGGTCCAAGGAGGTGATCCGCCCCCTCTATGTGACACTGGTCAGGCTGCAGTTGGAGTACTGCATCCAGTTCTGGGCACCGCACTTCAGGAGGGATGTGGACAGCATGGAGAGGGTTCAGAGGAGGTCCACCTGCATGATCAGGGGGCAGCAGGACAGGCCTTCCGAGCGGAGGCTACAGGACCTGAAGCTGTTCAGCCTCCACAAGAGAAGGCTGAGGGTGGATCTGGTGGCCTTCTACAAACTGGCCAAGGGGGACCAGCAGGCATTGGAAGAGTCCCTGCTCCCATGAGCACTACTGGGAGTAACGAGGAATAACAGCTGTAAGCTGACTGAGAGTAGATTCAGGCTAGATATCAGGAGGCGCTACTTTACAGTCAGGGTGGCTAGGATCTGGAACCAACTTCCAAGGGAAGTGCTGCTCACTCCTACCCTGGGGGTATTAAAAAAGAGGCTCGTTAATCACCTAACCGGGGTCGTTTGACCCCAGCATTCTTTCCTGCCCATGGCAGGGGTCGGACTTGATGATCTGCTCAGGTCCCATCTGACCCTACCAACTATGAAACTATAAAATTAAGATTATCTTTGAGTCGCAGGCACTGATATCACAAATCCAGGTGAAGCAAGTTCCTTTGAAACTCCTATTCACGTTTCCCATTTATAGTGTTAGTGATGTTATTCATAGAATCAGAAAAAAATCAGGAACCCTGCACCAAAGATTTTCTAGCAGTCTGGAGAAATAATATACTTAAATTGGGGATACTCAGGTCATAAAAGATAGTGCAAGATTAGGCAGAATTAGCAAAGTTTTCTTGCTAGTGGTGAATGGCCTCTGATTGCTGGAGATTGAGACATCTTGCACTCAGACTCAATTGATTAGATTATTTTGATTTGTTTCATTAGATTTGGACACACGGTAAGATATCATCTTGCTCATAGATTTTTAATCACTTTGTAGCCTAGTGAGTAATTTGTGTTCAGCTAGCAGTTTTTCTTTCCTACATCCCTGATTACATTTTATAAAGTTTCTACTTCTACTATTCATCAGCCTAACAGGATAGTCACTCATGCTGTGTAGATGTATTGATATTTCACATTTGATTGCTTCAGTACTAAAGTAGCCATGAAATTTAAAGTCAATTGCTAAGATATTTTCCCTTGCCTTTCTATATCATGAAGAAAGAAGAAATTAGATTGATTTATCAGATAATAGTCTTTATTAATGACTTATTAACAAAAAAGGATATTTCTCTATCAGATTAGATAACCACCATTAAGCCTTTTTTTAAAAGAAACTATCAGATTATCAGTAAGAATATTTACAGAGTCCCATTTCTGTGATTTAAATGAATATAAGACAGACGTACAGATTCTGAAGAGAAGAGGAGAGGAGAAAAGG